GTGCGGGCGCGACAGTTAGTTCGGCGGCGGCGGCCGGGGGCCTGCGCTCACTGCTGCCCCTCGCCCTGTCCCCCAGCGCTGGCGGGAGGAGCTCTCCCACATGAAGCGACTGAACCCGGGGCTTCCCGGCCGCCCCTACGACCTGGCGGCGACCGTGGCCACGGACCTGGACAGTGGCGCGGGCGCGGCGTGCAGCGGCAGCAACCCAGCGCACCTACCCCGGAGAGAGTCGGAGGAGTTCAACGATCTCCTGGACCTGGAGTTCATCCTCTCCAACTCCTTGTCTCATCAAGAGTCGGTGGCCGCCACCGTGTCCTCGTCGGCGTCTGCCTCGTCCTCGTCCTCGCCGTCGAGCAGCGGTCCGGCCAGCGCGCCCTCCACCTGCAGCTTCAGCTACCCCATGCGGGCCGGGGGCGACCCGGGCGTGGCCGCGGGCGGCACCGGCGGCGGCCTCCTGTACGGCCGGGAGTCGGCGCCCCCGCCCACGGCGCCCTTCAACCTGGCGGATATCAACGACGTGAGCCCCTCGGGCGGCTTCGTGGCCGAGCTCCTGCGGCCCGAGTTGGACCCGGTGTACATCCCGCCGCAGCAGCCGCCGCCAGGTGGCGGGCTGATGGGCAAGTTCGTGCTGAAGGCGTCGCTGAGCGCCCCGGGAAGCGAGTATGGCAGCCCGTCGGTCATCAGTGTTAGCAAAGGCAGCCCGGACGGCAGCCACCCGGTGGTGGGGGCGCCCTACAACAGCGGGCCGCGCATGTGCCCCAAGATCAAGCAAGAGGCGGTGTCCTCCTGCACCGTCGGCCGGCCCCTGGAGGCCCACTTGGGCGCTGGACCGCCGCTCAGCAACGGGCACCGGCCAAGTGCGCACGACTTCTCTCTGGGGCGGCAGCTCCCGGGCAGGACTAACCCGACCCTGGGTCCCGAGGAACTGCTGAGCACCAGGGACTGTCACCCTGCCCTGCCGCTTCCCCCAGGATTCCATCCCCATCCGGGGCCCAACTACCCACCCTTCCTGCCCGACCAAATGCAGCCGCAGGTCCCACAGATTCACTACCAAGGTCAGTCTGGGGGATTCCTAGCTCGGGCTGGGGAGCCCTGCGTGTGTCTCGGGCTTGGCATGATGTTGACCCCTCCTTCACCCCTAGAGCTCATGCCACCCGGTTCCTGCCTGCCAGAGGAGCCCAAGCCAAAGAGGGGAAGAAGGTCGTGGCCCCGGAAAAGGACGGCCACCCACACTTGCGATTACGCTGGCTGCGGCAAAACCTATACAAAGAGTTCTCATCTCAAGGCGCACCTGCGAACCCACACAGGTAGGGAGGGGCAGCAGGGCAAGGAGGGAGCTGGGTCCCGCACTCACAGGGTTAGGACACTCCTAGCCTCCTAGGGTGCCGCGGGTCTATCTGCTTCATCTCTTGGATCAGGGGAGAGGACAGCACACCCGGCGCCTACTTTTTTGCCCAGGAGCCTTTTGCTTGGTGGATGGGATGGTATCTGTGCTTGAATGTGCAGTTTTGCTAGGCCTTCAAAAGGCAGGGAGATTCCCATACATATGTGGGCCTCTTCTAGTTAGGGCAAGGCAGTCCCCTTGTTTGAAGTCGAGAAATTATACTTTGCAGCATAAGAATTTTTTTTAAATTCAGATTTTTTAATTTCTGGGTTTTTATTGATTGTCTTCTTTCCAGATTCACCCTCCCATTCTTAGTTTTCTTCTTTAATGTTTGTTTTTGTGGTACCGACGATTGAAGTCGGGGCCTTTGCACTGGGCTGAATCCCAGCCACTTTATTTTTTGACAGGGTCTTGCTAAGTCTCCTGCCTCAGGCTCCCGGAGTGCTGGGATTATAGATGGGTGCCACCAGGCCTTGCTGGATTTTATTTAAATTTCAAGAATTAAATCTTTATGATTACTGGAGAGATTCTGGCTTAAGACTTTCACAAAATTTCTCTGTCACTGCAACTAGGTATAAATGTAATAGTATTCACTAAAATAACAGAAGTCTAAGTACAAGGGGAAAAGATAGCTTTTTAGACCCAATTGTAGTGGGATAAAATATTTTTCCTTGATGCCGGGTGTGGCAACACAACACCTCTAATCCCAGCACTGGTTATAATCCAGCACAGGGGAGGCTGAGACAGGAGGGTCCAGGCCAGCCTGGGACTACAAAGTGAGTTCACTGACAGCCTAAACTACGTAGTGAGAGTCTGTCTCAAGGAACATATATATTATATATATAGTTTGATTGGTTTGGGCAAGGAGGCACCATCCGTCATTGCTACGTTTGTTTATGTGTCTGATGTCTTGGATCAAAAGAATTATTAACCTCGGGCCGGGGAATGTATAAGCTCAGCGGCACAGCACCTGCTTGGCAAGCACAAGGTTTGGGTTTGATTTCCAGTACCAAAAAAAAAAAAAAAAAAAAAAAGAATTAACCTCTACTCTAATGTAGACGTAGGTGATGTCGGTATCTTTTCATTGCTTAGCTAGCATTCCCCTAAACATAAGAGCAATACTGAAAACTCATCATATTCTTATGTGTGGTCTGAAATTTATTTTGATACTGGGAATCAAACTCAGGACCTCGTGCTTGCCAGGCAGGCGCTGTGCTGCTGAGCCGAAATTTAATATATGACCCTTCAGTGGTGTAATCCTAACTGGATTCTTTCGGAAATGGTTGCACGGGGAGATCCTTTAAATATTTGGCCTTCAGCTTTGAAAAGGGCCAGTTGTTTGTAATGATGGCTTCAGCAGCTCCTTTACTTTTTTCCCTTTACAGGTGAGAAACCTTACCACTGTGACTGGGATGGCTGTGGGTGGAAGTTCGCCCGCTCCGATGAACTGACCAGGCACTACCGCAAACACACGGGGCACCGGCCGTTCCAGTGCCAGAAGTGCGACCGGGCCTTTTCCAGATCGGACCACCTGGCCTTACACATGAAGAGGCACTTTTAAACCCCCGGAGTGGACGCCACCGCACTGCCAGGAGAGAATTCAGTATTTTTTTTTTTTAAAAAAAAAAACCTTTTACACTGTCTTCCCACAAGGGGAGGAGTCCAGCTGGCAAGCACTACAATCATGGTCAAGTTCCCCACAAGTCAGCTTGTGAGTGGATAATCAGGAGAAAGGAGAGCTCCAAAGGACAAAACGAAATCAGAGTACAGATGGGGTCTGTGACTGGATCTTCTATCATTCCAATTCCAATCTGACTTGAACACGCCTGGACTTACAGAACGCCATGGGAGAGACTGGAAGCTGTGGATATCAGGGTATAACTTAGATCCGTGCGAGGGGAGGGCGGGAAGACCAAGATTTTCTTGAATTGTGTTTCGATGCAATATAAGTATAAAGATCACCTTGTATTCTCTTTGCCTTCTACAAGCCATTAGTATGTTAGAAGAGGAAGACATTCAGGTACAGAAAATGTGTGTTAATAGCCTACACGATGGTGCTTGGTGAGTCTTGGTTCTAAAGGTACCAAACGAGGAAGCCAAAGTCGTTCTCAAACTGCTGCATACTTTGACAAGGAAAATCTATTTTTGCCTTCCGATCTACATTTATGACCTAAGTCAGGTAAATACACCTGGTTTACTTCTTTAACATTTTTATGCAGACAGTCTGTTATGCACTGTGGTTTCAGATGTGCAATAATTTGTACAATGGATTATTCCCAAGTATGCCTTAAACAGGACAAATGTTTTTTCTATATAGTTCCTTGCCTTAATAAATATGTAATATAAATTTAAGCAAACTTCTATTTTGTATATTTGTAAACTACGAAGTAAAGAAATGAACATTTTGTGGAGTTTGTATTTTGCATACTCAAGGTGAGAAATAAGTTTTAAATAAACCTATAATATTTTATCTGAGTAACCATTTCATTGTTTTGTTTTTGTCCTAGAGAAATATGTAACAGATTACGGTTGGAACACACTGAAGTGTAGGGCAAGTGAAAAACACACTAAAAAAGCCAAGTTTATCTCAACAAGAGGCTATAAAAGTCTTGTTTTTTTAAGCTACTTGATTGTATAATAAGTGCTATCACAGCTGAGAGTTTCAGGGATTAGAAATTGTAAAATTGTGGGCACATCTGGTCCAGGTTTGTCCTTTACAAATTTACAAATGTACTTAAAAGGACATGGATGCATTTTCTTGCCCTACTGGGAATTCGCAGGTAGAAGCAGTCCGATTGTTTGCTCAGTTTTAATGAGTGCTCGTCAGTAACCTTACACAGTCCAGTTTTGCGTTTTCAAAAATCGATGGTTTGTCTTTCATTAAAAATAAATAAAAATATAAAGGGTTCTCTGTGGAGGTCTGGCCTTGTCCTTCCCACAAAATTTGAGTAACAAAGAGCCTTCCTCAGGCAGGGGAACACAGTTCCACAGTGCCCTCCTGAGGATTAGAGGGTACATTCATGCCGTGTGTGTCACCCGGAAGAGTTTCCAGCAGATTATTTAAACACTTATCCATCCCTGTGACTTAGATAAGGGACGGACAGACGGACAAAATGCAAAGTGACTCAAATTCAGGGGTCGGGCCTTGGGAGCGGAGCTGGGCGGCAGAGCACAGTTAGCCTGGGCTGGAGCCTGGGCATCGCCTTCCCCCAGACACTCAAGAGCTAAATCATAGATTTTCATTTTTAAGTGGTGCTTTTGTAAGTTTGCAGCATTTGTTTTTGAAGTTATTTTAAGTTTAAAACCATTATTAAAATCTCAGTTATTTTGAGATGGGGGCCCGAGAGATTACAGGAGAATGATTTGTGACACAAGATGGAAAAGCATTTTTGACACTTGTTGACACTTATAATGATGTGGATGACAAGGGGACAGGAGCTGACTGGCATTTTCTGGTGTTTATTTTATTTTTTTTTTTTTTGCGACAGTTTCACTACGCAGTTTAGGTTGGCCTTGAACTCACTTGTAGCCCAGGCTGGCCTCAGTGATCCTCCCAATAATCCTCCTGCCTCAGCCTCTCTAGTGCTGGGATTACAGGCGTGTGCCACCACACCCAGCACGGCGTTTTCTTCAAAGTGCTTCTTAAGTAGTGTTCACAAATGTTTGAGCTGGGCGTGGTGGCGCACACCTATAATCCCAGCACTCCCAGGAGGCTGAGGCAGGAGGATCCTTGTGAGTTCGAGACCAGCCTGGGCTACAAAGTGAGCTCAAGACCAGCCTGAACTGCAGAGCGAGACCCTGTCTCAAAAAGACAAAAGAAAAAAAAGATGTGTTTGCGCCATAGTACATTTTTGAAAATGGAATTTAAAAACTAGAAATTTGTAAGAGGCTTGTGGTGGCTCAACACAAAGTATTTTCTTTGGCTTTAAAGAGTCCAGCATGACTGGCAAACAAGGCATGTGTCTTTGCTTAAAGACAACAGGTACATCCATAGGATGGAACTTTATGTGGCCAAGAACATACTCAAAGCATATTTAACGACATGGAAAAATGCTCATGGTGGGGCTAGAGATTTAGCGCAGCTTCACAGCGCCTGCCTGGCAAGCGCAAGGTCGTGAGTTCGATTCCTGGTTCCAGAAGAAAAACAAAAAAAAAAAAAGGAAAAAGAAAAATGCTCACAGTATGTTATGTGGAAAAGTGTACAAGACAAGAAACAGTCTGACTCCAATTATGTGTGTTTTAAGTGTGTGTGTGTTGAATGAGAGAACAAAGAAATGAAAAGACTGGAAGGAAATACAAAGTTATTTTTTTTTATAATTATATTTGAAAAAAGGTTTTTTTTTGTACCGGGAATCAAACTCAGGACCTTGTGCTTGCCAGGCAGGCACTTATGCCACTGAGCTATATTCCCAGCCCAACACAAAATTATTAGTACTCGATTTCTCAGTTTAAATTTTCCCCTTGTAGGGGCTGGGGATTTAGCTCAGCGGCAAAAGTGCCTGCCTGGCAAGCGCAAGG